ATGCTTTGAAGTCAGTAAGGGTACTAAATGTAGAGTGCTGAAAATAATGCCGCCTGCAGCTTACATACCCATTTTGAGTCTCATTTAACTTGATATTTCTATTTATGTATCTTTCTGACTCTGCATTTTCCTTTGGGATCAGTGTTTTTAGATTCACCATATTCTACTTCTTTTGTAACTTTTGTTATATGTGTAAGAGGTCCTTTGTTTTTTAAAAAGTTTCAACCTAATCCAGCACCTTAAAACTCTAACGAGAGACAATATTTCATCCAATTGTTATTATATGTCATTTGCTATTTATTCACATCAAGTCTGATGCAAGGCTTAATAGAGTCAATTGAAAGACTCCCATTGATTTCTATGGGCTTTCGCGATCAGGCACTGTTCCGTGTGACATTTAATACTTGAATGAATTATCACACAATGTAAATTATCAGTGATAGCTAAGGAAAACACAAAAATCTACCCTAAACCATAAGAATGCTTGACAACAAAAATATAGTCCCATTCTGAAAGTAGCCTGAGAATCACAGGTATGATCCAAAGAAGTTAAAACATCTCACTAGAACTTATTTTATACCTTTAAAATGTGCTAGTGTGAATTAAGTGTGCAAAATCTTTAGTCAAATAAGAGTGGCAAACAACTCAGACTGAATTTGTGTCTAGTGAAGCAAATCAGTACTGAAGGAAGAGGGATGATGCTAATAATATGGGATTTGAACATATATTTAGTATATTTAGTATTTTAACAGTTAAGCCTTTGTTTTTCATTGTATTATAAATATAATGCAAATACACATTTCAATTGCTTTCTGTGATATGAACTAGATTGCTATGCTTTTTCAGAATATATGGAACAGAATACCCGTAATAAACTCTGTGGGTACGTCTAAACTACATGGCTCCGTCGATGGATCCATGTAGATTTGTTTTTTTGGCAAAGGCAAATGAAGCCGCGATTTAAATGATCGCGGCTTCATTTAAAAATTTAAATGAAGCCGCGATCATTTAAATCGCGACTTCATTTGCCTTTGCCTATCTGTCTAATCTACATGGCTCCATTGATGGAGCCATGTAGTCTAGACACAGCCTGTGACAGATAAGTTTGTCAACAGTTCACATTTGATACAGAGTAGAGCTAATGTCCAGAGGAAAATCTAAGAATTCTATAAGCCACGTCTGTTTAAAGTCAAAGACAGTTCAGACAATGAGCTGTCTCTAAATTGACGTTTTCAGACAAAGAGGTTAATCATACTCAAAAAAGGTCTTCTAACAACAGACAATCAGCCAGAGAGTTGGGTGAGGGAGCTGCAAATGTGGCCAGAAAGTCTCTAATATAGTTGTTTGGCTCTGTCTTCAAAAGCATATTTAATGTAAAAGGCAAAAGGTGACAAAGGAAAAGGAATGCTGAAACTGTTTAGCCACAGAACTGAATACAACTCTGTGAATCTGGAGACAGACAGAAAACCCCATTTTGGATCCACATGTAGACGATGAAGTTTAGTCAATATATGTTATTCCGGTTTACAGCTGCCATTTTATATATGTCAGTCTGGCATATGTGCAGTTGGCTGCTCGTGTTGATGCTGCATGTCCTCATCACAAATAGTTTCACTGATAGAAAATGTTGTACAGCATGGGTTGGCATTCCAGTGTGTCCTGCACTACTATGTGATACAAAATCCAGTAGAATACTTTTAACAGTCCTTTGTGGGATACCAGCAGTTCAACCAAGGATTATTTGGGAATTAGGTATCAAGTTCCCATAATCCCATGTTCTTCATCCCATGATATAATTTCATGACATTTTTCAGATTTCCATAGTCACACTCACAGCTTTGCAGTCTTCGACATCTCGCTGTCAGATGTATGGCTCCTGCACAGCTCATTTAAATTCTTATGACTATTGATGATACAGGACACGTAATTCTCCTGTATCTGGAACTTCAATGACTACTACAACAAGCAGTGTGATGAGCATAGTGAATAGAGGAAGAAATTCAAAAATGGCCAGGTTATTGCTGGCATTCATACAGCCACTGCACTTGTTCAATTAGCATTTCAGATCCCAAAAAATGAGCACCGACACCTCACAGAGCACAGTGGACCATGCCAGACAACATTATGACAGGCATACCATTTTGGCAGTCGTGGCACTCCTGGGAGCTGGTTTCGGATGTGTTGGATCGGGGATTGTGGGCCCATCTCGGCACATTGCTCACACATGACTCACTCAGGAAGAATGGAGTCTTGGCAAGAAAAACCTTCACATAAACCTCAAATAGCTCAGAGATGTACAAAGGGCATGCGAGGTATTTCTCCCCCTTCCCATTGGGCAGAGTGGTTGGAGTTCTTATGGACAACAGAGCCACAATATTCTACAGCAAGGTTGGGAACCTCAGGCCTGTGGACCAAATGCAGCCCCTGGCTTGCCTGTACCTGGTCCCTGAGGCTCAAGCCTCCCACACTGTTGAGGAGCCCATTGCCCCACCATGGTGCAGTAGCACACAAAATCTACTAGCCTGCCCCCAACACGCCGGCTCTAGAGTGTGAGGGGGATGTGGGGAGCATCTTTCTCCTTTCAGTCAGGGGTCACATCAGTGGGTTTATTTAGTATGTATTTAGCTTCTCAACTTGTGTGTGGCCCATGACTAATTTGTTCTGTGGGTCAGCAGCCACTTTCCCAGAAAGGTACCCCACCTCTGTTCTATATCAATGGGCAAGGGGAGGCCTGGAAGTGAGGCAAGTCTTCTTGGAAAGCACTTGGTCCACCTATGTGGTGAAATGGACTTGACTCTTGATCTGGGCCACTCAGAGGGGGATCAGTCCCACTGAGACTCTGTAGATGGTCCTTGACTACTTCCTTCACCTGAAACATACAGATCTTGATTTGACTTCAATCAGGATGCATCTGGCCGCAATCTTGGCCTTCCATCATCCCATTAAAGTTCCATTCTGTGTTTTCCCACAGGTTGACAGCCAGATTCTTAAAAGGCCTTGAGATACTTTTGCTACATGCCCCTGTACTTCTTCCCCTGGGACCTTGGATCTGTCTAGGCTGATGAGGCATCCCTTTGAGCCACTGGATTCCTGTCCCCTTTTGCTCCTTTCTGCTAAGGTGGCCTTTTTATTGCCAATTACATTGGTTAGAAGGGCATCTGAACTCTGTGCCCAAACATTAGAAACCCCTTATATGGTCTTCTTTAAGGATAAGATGCAGCTTAGACCTCATCTGCCCTTCCTTCCAAGGTTGTATCCCCCTTCCCCATGGGCCAAGATATCCTTCTTCCTGTCTTTTATCTGAAACCTCATGAGACTACTTTGGATGTAAGGAGGGCACTCACTTTCTACCTTGACCATACAAGACAATTCCATGAGTCCTCCGAGCTCTTTGTGGCTTATGCTGAGTGTATGAAGGGTCTTCCAGTATCCTCAGAAAGAACTTCCAAATGAATCACCTCCTTCATCAAGATAGGCTATGAATTAGAAAGTGTTCAACCTCCATCATTGGTGAGGGTGCACTTCACCTAGGGCCCAAATCTCCTCAGCTGCCTTCCTAGCAAACATCATGATCTCAAACATCTGCAAAGTTGCAATGTAGTCTTCAGTACATACCTTCACATCACATTCATGATCTCAGACATCTGCAAAGTTGCAACATGGTCTTTGGTACATATGTTCACATCTCATTACGCCAGCATGTAGCAGGCCAGAGAGGATGTAGGTTAAACTCCCACCCACCTCCACAGGTACTTCTCAGAGTCACCTAAGGTAAGTTGAATGGACATGAGTAATCACTTGAAGAAGAAAAGATAGATACCTGTTTCTGTAACTGGTGTTCTTCAAGATGTGTTGCTCACTTCCATTCAACATCCAATCCTCCTTCTCCTCTGTTGAAGTTTTCTGGCAAAAAGGAAATAAAGGGACCCAGAGATTCGCCATATAGCTCCCAGGGGTGCTGGAGCTGTATAGATATTACTGAGGGAAAATCTTCCAGCACCGGTGCTTCTGGGGAGCACACATACCTAAGCTGAATGGACACGAGCAACACATCTCAAAGAATACCGGTTACGAAAACAGGTAATTGTCTTGTCATGTCAAATCATGTCAAATGAACCAGAAATGCAGAAGAGGACTGTGAAAGAGACCTGGTAATATAATCAACATGGGACCGTTAGGCTTGGTGACCAAATGGATCACAAATGAGAAAAGGAAAAAAAAACCTCCCTAGAAATGTAAGCTACTTTACTGTACCATTAATATGTACCTGCCTAGCTTAACTTTTTCCAAGTGCAATACTAGATTTGTTATACAGTCTATTTCTTTTATCTCATTAATTTTTTCTTAAAGGACCTTCTTTCTAAATGGACCATTTGAATCTTTGTCATTTGTCTGCAATTACATGCAGCCCACCCTAAGTGCTTAAAACAACTAAGTGACAGCAGTGAAAGAATAGTGTCTGGACTGGAGCACTATAGGCCCCTGATCCCTGGGGGAAGCTTTTCAGATTTAGAGCATAAAATAACATACAGATATGAATAAAAGGGCTTGTCTGATTCATTGGGTGTGCCATTCACAGGACGGCAGTCACATGAGTGTACTAGGAGTGGCTAATGACCATAGATGGGAATTGAGTTTAAAGGATACCAACAAAATTCAGATCCAGATTTTGATCACTCCAAAATTTAGGAATGTTTGGATGTGGGGTTCTCATTTGGACTCTTATAAAGGGTCAAAACTAAAATTCTGATTCAGATCACGTACAGATTTCAGACATTGTCTACAGTCTACAAGCATCTGAATTGGCAACTTTGTACAGGTTCGCAGCTTAAAATGGGCCTGATTCTGCTGAGTGTTCTTTCCTTCTCTCCCCCCAAATAGTTTAATTGGCACTGTTCTGAATACCGCACACCCTAGATACCAATTGATACAGTTACAGTCAGATTAAACATCAAGTAAAGGTCTATCACTGTCATCTACCTTTTTTTTTGTGGTTTTAGGTGTGTATTGTACAAAAGAGAGATACGGAGAAGATGTATGCCATGAAGTACATGAACAAACAACAATGCATCGAAAGAGACGAAGTTCGAAATGTGTTTAGAGAATTAGAGATCCTGCAGGAAATTGAGCATGTATTCTTGGTGAATCTCTGGTGAATATAATTTTTTTTTTAATTTACATTTTTGGTGACTGCATGCATTCATAAACACTTTACCTTAACCTTCATAGTTTGTTTCTCCTTAACAAGGGGCAATGAAAGAAATCTACTGAGTTGTCTCCATATCATCAATAGATTTCTTGCTTATATGAAAACATGGGAATCTGAGAAAGGCACATTTTAAAAATGTATTGATAGATTATTTTACATGATTTCTTTGGAATAGATTGTATTTTTAAAATTTGTGAAGTTCTCTTTCAAATCTGTCAAGTTAAATATAAAATAATTTTTCAATACAACATGTTAAGTAAAGTTTGATGCAGTCCAACCTTGATGCAGTCCAACAGTTTAATCATGGTATTTAATTTAATCGATCATATATTATTGTATTTTACATATCGACATACTGATCACTCTGGTTCTGTCCATATTCTTTTTTTCCATCATGAATTATCTATCTGTATATTATAGAAATGTCTGTCTGTTCATATGTGAGTCTGCTTGTTCAAGAACTCCTCCTAAACAGTAAGAGCTAGGACCACCACATTTGTTGTGTAGCTTCCTCTTAACCTAATTTAAAGCCATGTCAGGGACTGGTTGTGTCAAGCAAATGGGAAGTTCCAGGAATGGGACTGTTTTCCATAACATGGAAAGGAAGGGAGGCAGAGAGAGAAGGGATGTGAAAGGATGGGGAACAGAGGGTATGTCTACACTACCCCGCTAGTTCGAACTAGCGGGGTAGTGTAGACATACCCAGAGAGGAAAGGTGCAATACTGAGAGAAGCCACTGGAGGCAGCTTGCAGGGGAAAGCTATATGCAGAATGGCTATTGGCAGGGGGGGGCACCATCTTGCCTGCCACTAGACTGGGTAAGTAACCCCCCTACCCCAAACCTTTTCCACCCTAGCTCTTAGCCGCAGCACTGGAGAAGGGAAAGCCCTGGTGGCCAGGGAGCCTGGAAGGCCCTGGTGGCCAGGGAGCCTGGAAGTAGAAGACCCCTGGCAGCTTGGGTGGATGGAAAGGCCCTGCTGCCTGTGGGGAGAGAAAGCTCTGCTGGATGGGACCCTCCAGGCCCTCCTCACCCCCCAATCCTCACTCTTACACCTTCCCAAGTCCCCAGCCTCCTACCCTGCTTCCCCACATCCCCAAGGCTCTGCCCTGACTCCTGCATTCCCCCACACCACCAGACCCTGCTCTGAAGGACCCAGGCAACATGGAGTAAGCCATCTGCTATGCTGTATTTTGTTATCCTTGCATTAGGCACAAACTTGAATTTAAAGAGTTAAAAGAAACTGGTAGCTCTCCAAAATATAGATTACAGTTGTAAATAATAAATACATCAATAATTAATAATTAATAATAATGTCAGCAACATTTGTATATGATACAATGTGCTAAAGGTGCATGGAGCTATACACATGATTTCTGTCTTGGGAATCTTTCATTCTAAAGGGCTTATTCTTGAAAACACTTGCAACCAGATTGCGTAAATGGGACTTCTGTGTGTCAGAATCACTGGAAGTAAGCATTTATTAGGTGGACCCTACTAGAGGAGCTCCAGTTCATTAAATCACTTTAAATATTCTCTTTAGTTTGGCACATGTCTAAGTACCTTGCTCAGTGGAGGCCTGGATGACAAAAGGAGGCCTATGTGAGGATGGTGGCCAGATTACATAAAATATGGTCACAAGGATGCTCAAGTGGCACAGTACATCTCACAGTGAACATCCGAAGATCTATTTGAAAAACCTTTTTATGAGTTAAAACAATTTGTAGATTTTAGTTGTGATATAATTGTTGCAAAAATTAAGAATCAATTCATTGGTATTTGTTACAGTCAACCACTTAATGCATAGTCTTTGCCAGTGGATACATGATCACATTAAATGGTTATTAATACTGAGCAATTTCAAATTTAGATACTTTAGCTAGTGTTCTCCTTTTGAGACATATTTTAAGTAGCCTATTCAAACTGTCAGCAGTATGGTATGTATTATTGAAAGCCTCATGGAAACAAAACATTTTATAATAAGTTAAACTGGTCAATTAAAAGCGCATCCCTTTATAATTCAGACTTATTTTCATTATTCACTGTGAACAGAACATATCTATTGGCTGTTGACATAAAATGATCCAATAAGCCCCAAAGAATCAGAGGAGTTCATTTTCATGAGCAAATATGCAAGTGTGTGTGTGTGTGTGTGAACCAATCTTTTTATATGCCTTCCACCATCATCTTCATGACCCTGTAATGGGTCCTTTTCCAAGTTACCCCTGCTGCCATTGCTCTTGCCTCCCCACCACACATGCTCTTGTGCAGGGATCAGTAATTCTCAGTGTCGTCATCTTTGATTGGCCTTGAAAGCTGAATTTTGCATGCTCAGAGACTGTGCGCAGAGAGCATTTTATGTATGAGTGCTCATTAGATTCTTTGGCATCCAGGCTGAATAAACATATTTTGAGAACTATTGAGTCACATGATAGAATCTTCAAAGAAAGCATTATGAAAGAGATAATATTAGAAGATACAGGAATAAATCCATGACCTATATTTGTAAACATGGGTAAAGGCAAATCTCTATAGCTTGGTGGAAGGAAACTGGGTTCAGGTAAGAAGGTTATAAGGAGAGATGATGATGTGGCCATACAGGGAAAAAGGATATATGAGAGAGAGAGAGAGAGACAGAGAGAGAGAGAGAGAGATGGACCCTCCTTATTCAACCTGAAATTGGCATTGGGCTGCTTAAAAGTTTGAGTTGCTTTTCTATTTTTCAAATGGCTTCTTCATACAACCTTTGTTACTGTTTATGGTATGCTATTTCAAATAATGAAGTATCTTTTTGTTAAACCCCATTTGAAATTTGGAGAATATAATGGAAGTCAGATAGTCAATATTTCCAATTCAGCAATTTTTCAAATGACCTAAAGACACATGCAATCACATCTTCTCTACTATTAATAAAACTGTGTGGTAATGATAAAATAAACACTGTATTCAGAAAATAACAGGTAAATAAAGTGGGTGGGTTTTCCCAAAAAATAACAGGTGATGAAGTGGGGTGTATTGACAGTGACATAGTTTTCCCTAACAGGTTCCAAATTTCCTGTTGGATTCCAAAGTTTATGTCACAAATTAAATGTGTTAGTCTGAAATTAATCCCTGTTACATAGTGTTTGACTCACAAAGACGCATCAGGAATAACTGGCATTTTTTCCTCTAAAATGGTCCACAAATCTGATATCAGACAGGCTGAATCTGCATTGACAGACTTGGCAGGCATGTTTGCTTCAAGGAATCAGTCTCTGTTACAGGGGCTGGCAACCTTTTCAAACCAAATAGCCAAACTACATAAAAATTTAGAACAAGTGGTCAACAAAGAGCCATATAAGAATGCCCATTTGCATGACTGTAAATATACAACTTAATATTATTGATAATTGATATAATAATTAATAAGAGCATCACAGACTTTATTTAATGGGACTTTTGCTGCTGCATCTTTCTGCACATTTCTTTGAAGTTTACATCAACTGGTCGAATCCAGTTTCATGCATGCATTCAGGCTGTCTTTGTTATTCAGTGGGACTTTGGCCACTGTTGGCAGACAGCATACTGGGCTAGATGGACCTTTGGTCTGACCCAGTATGGCCATTCTTATGTTCTTTCTTCTGTCAATCTTATGGGGATGCAGGAGTCTGGGTTGGAGTGTATTAGGGGATCAGGGCATGGGATTTGGGTATATGATGGACTCAGGGCACTAGTTTGGGGTATGTGGGGGTACAGGAGTGTTATGGCAGGGGACTGAGGATGTAGGGGTGCAGAAGTTTAGAGATGGGGGTGAATGAGTTTGGGGATGTGGGGCTCAGGGCAGAGGGTTCAGGTGAATGAGATAGGCATAGGGGTGCAGGATCTGGGTGGGAGGTAACTTGTAGGAGGGAGTGAAGGTGGGAGGTCTGCGTGCGTATGGTACAGGAGCAAGCTGGGAGTAGGGTGTCTGGCCGGGGGAGGGGGCAGGAGCAAGGGGAGGCAGGAATGGGCTGGGAGAGGCTGTCTAGCCAAGGAGCAGGGAGCAGGAGTGGGCTGGAGTCAGGCAGAGGAAAGGGGTGGGCTAGGGGCAGGGGGTTTGGCCAGTGGACAGGGTGTCTGACCAGCGGGTAGGGTGTCTGACCAGAGGGGAGGAGACATGAGTGGCCAGAGGGCAGGGTATCTGGGCAGGGGGCAGAGTGTCTGAGGAAGGAGGGGCAAAAGTGGCCAGGGGGCAAGGTATCTAGGCAGGGGTATGGGTGTCTGGTCAGGGTGCAAGCTGTTTGCCCAGGGCGGAGGGGGTAGGACTGTGCTGGGGGTAGGGTGTGTGGGCAGGGAGCAGGAGTGGGTTGGGGGCACGATGTCTGGTCGGGGGGGATAAGTGAGGGGTGGAGGTGTAGAGTCTGAGCATGGGGGGACACTTGTTTTCACAATGTGCTGCAGGCACCATATAACACAGCCTCCCACTGCTCCCATTTTAGGGTTGCCAGGTGTCTGGTATTGACCCAGACAGTCCGGTATTTTCACCTCCTGTCTGGTAAAAAAATTCAGAAAATACCGGACACCTAAAATGTCCGTTATTTTCTGGGGGGCGGTTTCCTGCCAGAAGGTGAAAATAGCAGACTCCTGGCAACCCTATGACACACTCAGCAACTGGACTCAGCTCCTGCCCCACTCCCCGACCCCCCTGCTTACCTGGTTCCACAGGGAAGCTCCCTTCTGGCTCGACCAAGAAAACAAGATGGCCACCGGCAAAAAGCTTAAAGACCTGGGCAAGGGGAATCAAAGCCTTCCCTGAGTCTTAGTGCTCAACCTCTCCTCTTCCTATCCGTCTTCTGACTCTGCATGCTTGTAAAGGGGCCATGCTGTTTCAATCAAGCAATTAATTAATTAATTAATTAGCTTAATAACTCTTAATAACAATTTTTTTTTGCTCAACAACTTGGATCTCTCCCCCCCCTTTTTTTCCCCTCAACAGAATTTTTCCCCAGTTTTTTTTTGGGGGGGGGAGGGGGGGAAGGGGAGGCAGGAGAGGAAGGTGTTCAGTATTTTTGGTTAAACCATCTGGCAACCCTATCCCATTTGCCCGAAGAAAGCCTCCAGGAAAGATTCGCAGAGGAAGTCTCCAGGAAGCATGCCATGGGGGAAGGAATATGGTAGTGCATGTTCCCAGATTGTTCCCTGCATGCCGGATCCCATGCAGAGGTTCAGAGCCCCCGCAAGAAGCTGGTGCTAGCGTTCCAATCTTGCAGGGGGTTGCGAGGCTTTAGCACCAGCACTGGCTCCCTGCTGTGGGGGGAGTTGGGGGAGCTGAGTTGGGTCTCCAGAAGAGCCATATCTGGCTCCCTAGTGAGCCATATTTGGCTCACAAGCCATAGGTTGCCAACCTTGCTCTACTAGCTGGTGTTAATGAGCAGTGAAATTTCTTTAAGATTGAAAAAAAATAAATAAAATAAAATGATGAAATAAAGCCAACGAATGATGCCCTAGGATTAGATTGTATAGTCAAGACAATCAGCCTGAGTTGTCAAACCATTTTAATAATTGCTCTACTGAGGCTATTAAAGTGTTTTCTCTTAGCATTATCAGATAATAGAATTGTTCATTCATTTCTAGCATACATTCAGTATAAGAACAGAAATTTGTAATGCATACATTGCACAATTCCACATGTAATTCAGTATGTAATATATTGTTGCTACAAAAAACTATTAGAAAGTCTTTGAGGTATATCCAGATTCTGGATTTTCTGGCAAAAGCCAATTGTTTCAGATTTTTAAAGACTTTTCTGATTTGCAACTGTTATAAGGCTTCTGCTCTAACATTCTGAGAGTTAAGTTAGCCCTTGTGTTTTCTTACTTCATTTTCAAAAAGAAAAAAAAGAGAGAGAGAGAGAGAGAGAAAAGAGAAAAGTAGAAAAAAACTTCATTTGGAAAAAGTCTTAAGCTAAAATGAAATGGCTATTTAGTAGAGGCCCAAACTTCACTTGTTAATGAGGTGAATGATTCATAAAAGATAATAAGGAATTCTGTGACTATGGGTGAATGACTTGTAGGAACTGACTTAACAGTACTGCTCACAGGGAAAATCATTAGTGTCAAGTGTTGAAACTGGAGGCTAGATTTTCATAGCCTTGCCTCCCTGCAGAAGCAATTCAGGTCATTTTCCTGATAGTGCCACAAATCAGGTAACTGGGTGTCTCATTATGTGGTTTTCAGAACTAAGCGCTCAATGGCACTGGCAAACAGTTGGAGCTGTAGAACTTAGGATGTGATTTTCAGAACTAAGCGCTCAATGGTATTGGCAAACAGTTGGAGCTGTAGAACTTAGGCTTAGGCTAAAATTGAAGTAAATTGCCCTCTCAAAGAAGCGTGGGAGCCAAATTTCACATGCAATTAGTTCTGCCAGAAAAACTAGTCACAAAGGCTGTGTCTAGACTATATCCCTCTTTCGACAGAGGAATGCAATTTAGACACTTCGAAATAGCAAATGAAGTGGGGATTTAAATATCCTGTGTTTCATTTGCATAATCACGTCATGGCGCTCTTTCGAAAAAGCGCCATTTCAGAAGTAAAACTGCGGTCTAGACACAGTTCTGTCGAAAATGGCAGGCTTTTTCAGAAGATCCTGTACTCTTTCAAAAAAGCCTGCCGTTTTCAACAGAACTGCATCTGGACCGCGGTTTTACTTTTGAAATGGCGCTTTTTCGAAAGAGCGCCATGACGTGATTATGCAAATGAAACACAGGATATTTAAATCCCTGCTTCATTTGCACTTTTGAAGTGCCTCTTTTACATCCTTCTGTCGATAGAGGGATGTAGTTTAGACACAGCGAAAGATTGCAGGCCTGGTTAAAGTCAGACTGAAACTGAGACCCTAGAAATCTCAAGTAACGATTTTCCACTAAATAATTAGGGCCTAATCCTGTGAGTTGCCCAACCCCTCCAATTAGGTGGTAAGTGCACTCAAAGGGCCCTCTACTCCTACTGAACATGTCATGAAATGGGGTCTTTAATTGTGTTTGTCTGAGGCTATAAATAATGAAGGTTTTTTAAACAATACATAAGCTAAACTTTTGTTAACATATGAGGCTGCCATGATGTGTGCTGTATGCAGTTCCATTGACCTCAAAGGATTTACACGTGATGGTAGGGCAGCATTTGCCTCACTGAGTAAAGGGTGCAGATCCTGTATTAGCTTTCTCAGTATTCATTGGAGCAGGGACAGGAATACAGGTGTCACTCCTACCCAAATGAGTCACCTAACCTAATCACCGGGTACTCACTCTCCCTTTCTAGGGCTCAGCTAGGTGGTGAGAAACCCAAATTCAAATTCCTGCTCCAATGACTATTTAAATATTTTATACAAAGAGGAACAACTGGTGAGACTGAGAATCCCACCTAGGGTATCCCCTATCTTAGTGCACCATCTAAAATATGGGAAATCAAAGGTTAGCTCCCTGCTCTGATTCAGACAGAATGGTTGAGCCTGCATCTCTCCCTGCTCTGAATCAGACAGAATGGTTGAGCCTGCATCTCCACTCCACCATCCCAGCTGTGTGCGCTAATCACAGGGCCATTTGATAAACAAAAGGGTCCTCAGTTTTCTGAGTCTAGCCCAAAAATTGAGGGGGGAGCTAAAAGTATTTAGCAAATTGGGGTCAAATCTGTGAAGTTTTAGTTGGCCTGCAACTTTATTTTTCAGTAGCTAAATTATTTGTCCAAAATTATTTTTCGCAGCTCAACTAAGAAGTATAGGTATACCCTTCACAATGTGGCTTTTGCAAGGGTGCAGCATAGCAGCGTGTACATTGACCTCATACCACTGCTGAAGCAAGTACATTCTCCTCTGCCCGTCATAGACGCTTCACTCTAGATGCCACCAAAGAAGTGGATAGAGTCTCAGTCAGGGGGCTAGAATCAGCACCAACATTTTAATTGTAGATTGGCTCTAAGGAACCTATTTTTGGTGACTCATTTGAGCTGATAATAGGGAGTGTTATCACATAATTATGTTTGGTTTACTGCTCATTATTCCAGCACAGTATTGATTATATCAGGAGGAATAAGTGTGTTAAGAATATAGGAGTTAAATGACAGTGCCCTAGATTATACCAATGGACTGTGCATGTAGGATAAAATTAACGAGTACTGCTGCCCCTTCACAGAAATTTTGCCTGGAATAATCTGTTAACAGTTACAGAATGAGGAAGGCATCAAGCAGATTAATTAATCCAGACAGAACATAGTAGTGATGGGTTAAAAATATGAGAAAATCTATTGAATCATGCACACACAATTAAAATGATGTAAATATTGAAGCCAGGATATTTCTGTAACTATACTTGGACAAATGGAGAGCATATGGTTGTTCATATGTAGAGTATAATTAAGGTTAAAAAAAAGCTCTTTCGTTGTGTAGCACCTGTGAAATTTGCAAGGTGTCATGCTGTTTACTCTCCTGTGTTTGTGTTCTATAGGTACTCTTTTCAGGATGAAGAAGACATGTTTATGGTAGTGGATTTACTCCTAGGTGGTGATCTACGGTATCATCTACAGCAAAATGTTCAATTTACAGAAGAAACAGTGAAGCTTTATATTTGTGAGATGGCACTAGCTCTAGACTATTTACGAAGTCAGCATATTATTCACAGGTAATAGCAAAATCTGTTAGTCTCAGCTGTTGAAAACTGGTGCCTCTAAATAAACATGGATAAATGAGATGGTCAGGATTATTAGAGAATAAAGGATCAGATCATCAGATAGTGCCAACTGGCATAGGTTCATTGCAGTCTATGTTTCAGGTTAAGGTGGAGATTTCTCCATATGTTGTACACTAATGAGTATCCCTAAGTCATTAACAGTTGGTATTCAGTAAACAGCTCCTATTTAAACTGCACCTACCCATACAACCCGTTGGTTAAAATTCTGCCCTCATTTATATCGAAGCTGGTCTTTAGCTATCTGTGGACTTACTCTAAATGTATCCCAGCATAAATTTGACCCAGTATTTGATTCAAAATTATCTATCTGCCCCCTTCTCCCCCTTTTTTGGGGGTTGTATGTGATTGCACAGGAAAAAACATTTATCTATTAGGGTATGTCTACACTACCCCGCTAGTTCGAACTAGCAGGGGTAATGTAGTCATCCGCAGTTGCAAATGAAGCCCGGGATTTGAATTTTCCCGGGCTTCATTTGCATGAAGCCGGCCGACGCCATTTTTAAATGCCGGCTAGTTCGGACCCCGTGGCGCGCGGGGCCTAATCCGAACTAGCTAGTCCGTGCCGCGTGTAGAAGCCTAATCCGTACCGTAGAAGCCTAATCCGAACTAGCTAGTCCGTGCCGCGTGTAGCCGCGCGGCACGGGGTCCGAACTAGCCGGCATTTAAAAATGGCGTCGGCCGGCTTCATGCAAATGAAGCCCGGGAAAATTCAAATCCCGGGCTTCATTTGCAATTGCGGATGACTACATTACCCCCACTAGTTCGAACTAGCGGGGTAGTGTAGACATACCCTTATACATAAGAGATAGCACATGCATGAATGATTTCAGTCATGCTAGGGTACTTTGTTGTATATTTTCTACCCTAATTGTTGAGTCATAAGACATAGCTTTTCTTTTCTTTTGAGTTACTTTTTCTATTTGCATAACTTCTTACATACATTCTCATTTCTTTTCCCAGAGACGTAAAACCAGACAACATTCTCCTAGATGAGCAAGGTAAGAAAAAAACAAAGCTTGTGTATCTCTGCAGCTCCTGCAAGCCTATGTCCTGATTCTCCTTCTCCATGCAACTTGTGTGCATATTTATCCCTGGGAAAAGTGGGCATAAGACACTACTGCTCTGGGATGGAAATATTTTACATTAATTTTGCACACAGGTTATGCAAAGCAAGGAAGAATGAGTCTCAAGTATGTTTGTCATAAACTAAAGCTTATTTTTACTAGCTCTTATATTTTTAGGACTAATGGTATTTCTGGCAGAGAATAAAACGTGCTGTTTTTCTTAAAAGATTTTAATATGTTAGCTTCCAATCAAATTAACTATTAGAAAATAATTTTGTGTCTTACCAATCTGCTAGTTGGTAAACAATGCTGGGGTCCTATTTCCACAAATACCTTATGCTAAGGTGCCATAATAGTTTGTCATCATTGGTTCTTTAGAGTTATGAAAAGAGGTATTTATATATTTGTTTTGAGCTTTAAAAATGCGGCTGTATTCACCTATCATGTGCTTTGGGTGCTTGGGCTATATAATAAAAATCACACCATGAAATAAAAACCCTGCCTATAAATATCTTCTCCTAAGCCACACACTCTCTTTATCAACCATAGCGAGGGGGTGGAAATGGATGGGCTTTACAACCTGCTTGGAAAGTTAGCCAATCTGGTCTCTGGTGGAACAAAGTGGGAAACAAGATCAGGACTCTTCACTAAGAATGTATTAGCAGCTCTCTGCTTTAAAGTGAGGGAGCTCCAGCTTGCACGCCTCTTCTGATCTCAACTGCAGTAGTGTATCATGGGGAGAGACAAGCAATCTCTCAGGCAACCAAGTTTTAATCTTTTTCTGTTTTTAGAGATTCAGCCAACAGCTTTAATTCCACCCAAAAGCATATTGGAAGCTGATGCAGATCGCAAAGCACTATAAAATTACTGAGCATAAAATAGAATGACAGGAGAGGAGAAAACAAGAGGAGAAATGGGTTATACTCTACCCTTGATTCAGGCATAAAACATCCACAGATGTCAATGGGGAAACCCCAGGCAAATACAGAGCAGAAAATAGCCTCACAAAAGAGAGAGAGAGTGGTTTGCGTTGGAATAGATTTCTAGCTTGGCTTGAAAGTAACTATCCCTCCAGCAAGTTTTGGAATAAGTGGTTGACCTGCTGCAACTAACATTGGATTTCTTTCTTGTTTGCCTTGACAGAGGAGATGAATTGATCACAAATTTTATATGCTGCACCTAAAGTAGTTGTATTGTGATGTGTCTATTATATAAATAACCTAGGAACGGCCACCTTAACAGTATGAAAATGGAATTTGGCTTGTAGCCAGCTGCTTTTAAAGAGCAGACTTGGTTATATCAGAAGCATGAGGAGAGTTAAAGAACTAAGGTATACTGGCGCTCGCTACAACCCAAATTTACCTCCTTCACTGCTATATGGAACTGTATATCTCTATGCACGGTGTTTGGAAATCTCTTTCAAGGACCAAAGAGAAAGTGTTTTATCTTCCTTCGTTAAAAATGTTTTTGCTCTGGAGAAGACACTTGAATGCAAACAGATCAGTGAGCTTTTGATGATATATAACCAACTGTCTGACAATTTCTCCACATATCCCTCTGTCGTCATCTCTTTTCAGGTCAGGCAGCATTGGTCTCATATGCATAATTCATATAGCTATCAGACAGCATCCCACAAGAAGGAAGAAATGGCAGGAATTTGGTACCGCTAGCTTATACTGACCACAAGCTGTTTGGAAGACTCATGAATAAGCCACTTTATGTTTAAGCCATGTTGGTTTATACATGGGTTTATGCAATAAAGAAAAAAAAAGAGAGAGCCAGGCCTGCCTGAGAGAGCAGGTTTTTTTCCAGCCAGAATACAAGATATTTGCTGTCTATTACCTAGGAGCCCCAAGTCCAAACTGGGATGGGAGAAGACAAAATTGCCACTGCCACTTGGGAACAGCTAGATTCCTTAGTACATGTAAGCATCTTTGGACTTGTGGGTCCTACATAGTGAGCATATTATAAAACTTGTAGAGAATATAAAATATATATACTGCAAGCTCTTTATTTGCAGTAGGAGCTGCTAGCTGGAGATTGCTGTATCTTCTGCCACCTGGAAAATGGGCATACCAGTCAGGATTAGCTACTCCTGTGGCAAGTACAGTGTTCACTTTGATACTCCCATAAGCCAATTCTTAAAAGCAGCCCAAAACATCAGCCGGGATACGTGTGCAGTAATTCCACAATGAAATAGATTCCAATCTATCTATACTTCTTAGTTATACAAAACTGGGCTGCACATCTAACAAGAATAGGTATTTTCATGAGCTTTTCTGTCAAATACATTTTGTCATGCTGTTATTTTGGGATTTCTGGTTCCAGTCCTGGCCAGAAACAGGGAAAGCAGATGTAACCACCAATGGACAGACTTGAACCTGGGACATCTGTGTAGGAGCCTCTTACAGCTTGAGCTATAAAGCCAACTGGCTCTCAGCTTAGGCTGTAGAACTTTCTTGCTCTTAGCTCTCACTGTACATGGTCTAAGTGCCATTACTTTGGACAGTGAATCACACTAGGGGAAAAAATACTAGTGAATTAGAGTGTTCATGTTATATGAAGCTGATAGAGAAGGTGCAAATTATTCTTAAGTATCCATTGTTTGATTAGTTAAGTCATTAGGACAGGAAGGCAGTGTGCTAGCCAAGTGATGTCTTTATTCATACCCTTGTGATGGGTCCCAAACTTGTAAATGAAGCTAAGTTCCAACGCTTTCCTGTGTATATGACTTGTGAAATTGGCCTGAAACAACATGATGACTTTGAGATCCATTAATCAGTGCCTAGGCAGGTTAAAGTGTTCTCCAACAGGTTTCTGTATGTTGCCTTTTTGGATATCTGATTTGTGTCCATTAATTCAATCCCATGTATACTGTCCAGTTTACTGCCAGTATACATGGCAGAGGGGCATTGCTGGCATTTGATGACATAGATCGCATTAGTGGATGTGCAGTTAAAGGAGCCTCTGAAGTAGTGGCTGATATGGTTGGGTCCAGCGATGAAATTGCTTGTGTAGATGTGTGGACAGAGTTGGCACCAGGGTTGATTGCAGGGATGGGTTCCTGGATTATTATGATGGAGGCGTGCTGCATGGTTACTAGAAATAATTTGTTTGAGGTTAGGGAGTTGTCTGTAGGCGAGAATTGGCCTTTCCCCCAGAGCCTGAGAGAGTCATTTTTCAGAATAGGTTGTAGATTGTTGATAATGCATTGAAGGGTTTAAGTTGTGGGCTATAGGTGATGACAAGTGGAATTCTGTTGTTTTCTGTTCTTGGCCTGTCTTGAAGTATTTCATGTCTGGGTACTCTTATGGCTCTGTCAGGCTCTGTCAAGCTGTTCTTTCACTTCTCTGGGTGGGTATTTCAGTTTTAAGAATGCTCTAGATAGATCCTGTAGGTGTTTATCTGTGTGGAATTGGAACAAATCTGGTTGTATTTTAGGGCTTGGCTGTAAACAACAGATTGAGTAATGAGTCTTGGATGGAAGCTAGAGGCATGAAGGTACGTGTAGTGGTCAGTAGGCTTCTGGTATAAGGTGGTGGAAATGTGTCCATCATGTAAGTGTACTGTAGTGTCAAGGAAGTGGATCTCTCATGTGGACTGATCCAGGCTGAGGATGGTGTATTCAGGAAGATTATTGATGTTCTGTAGTTTCCTCAGGAAATCGGTGGTGTCTTAAAGATAGCTAGTTGTGCGGGCAGCATAGGGTCTGAGAAGAGAGTCAATATAGCCAGATAATCGTGTCGTAAGTGTGCCAATTCTTGAGATGATGAGTCATTTGGGATTTCCAGGTTTGTGTATCATGGGTATTAGATAGAAATCCTGATCGGGGATTAGAGGAAGTGTTTGTGTAAATTTGGTCCTGAGCAGTATCAGGGAGCTTCATGTGTAGTTGTTTTAGGGGTAGTTTTTTTAAACAAATTCTTTAGTAGGATCAGAGGAGAGAAGCTTGTAGAATCTGGTGTTGGTGAGTTGTCTGGTCACCTCCTGTTCATAATCTGTTCTGTTCACGATGATCATGGCATCCGCTTTGTTAGCCTCTTTGATTATGATGTTAGAATTGTTTTTGAGGCTGTGTATAGCATTGTGTAACTGGACTTTTAATACTCCATTCATCTGAAGAAGTGGGTTGTATCCACGAAAGTTCACGATACCATCTCCATGTTGTGTTAGTCTTTAAGGTGCTGCTAGACCATTCATTGTTTTTTAAGTTTTATCCAATTACAAACTAACTCAACTACACCTCTGAAGCTTTTGAACATATTAGGTTTGTGAATTACACAGTGATAGGGAGAAAATTTGCCCATCGCTAATGTCTACACAGAAAGTTATCCATATTACTCCAAGATTGGGAATTGGAAATTTTGATGGTCACCTTGCTCTCACCCAACATGATTCCAAGAAGCATCTTTTGCCATTTTGTTTAAGACAGGGGTCGGCAACCTTTCAGAAGTGGTGTGCCAAGATTTAACTTATTCATGGATCTGTGTGCCAGGGGGAGGGAGAAGGGAGCAGGGACAGGCTGGGTATGGTGACCATATTTTCTGAACCAGCTGAAGCTAGGGAGAATGTTTTAATTTAAATTATTTAGCAGATTAAGCATTTTAACTCTCTCATGTGAGTTTATCAGGCTTCATTTTAAATAAAGTAAAATATTAATTTTCATCCAACACAAAAGGTTTCAATGTTTTTTTTATTTATGGCAAAGGTGAGGAATCTTTTTTGGGTCAGGGTCACTTGGTCACAAAATCAGTTGGGGACCACACAAATGAGAAACAAAAAAACCTCCCCCAAAGCCCTCCAACCCTTACTCATGTGGCCCCCAGCTGAGACACCTCTCTCATCTGGTGTTCCAGCCTCACAGGGTGAGGGGAAGGGGTAAGGAGGATTGAGGTTCAGCATTTCCCATCGGCCAGGTTTACTTTCCTCGGGTGCTGAAGTTACCGGATTTTACGGAGCCCCTTAAGCTCTAGGGTAGGGACAAAAAAGGGGTTTAGTAAGTGAGATAGGGTTGCCAGCGAGTGGGATACGGGTGGAGGTGCAGGATCTGGAAGGGAGGTGAAGTGTAAAAGAGAAGTGGGAGGGAGAAGTTGCAAGGTCCAGCTGGGAGGTAGGGTGCAGAATCAGGCTGGGAGTAGGATGTCTGGCCAGATGGAGGGAGCAGGGGCAAGGGAGGGTGCAGTATGTGGCCAGCAGGGACAACGGGTGGATGCAGGAGCGGTGTAGAGGTAGGTGTCTGGCCAGGAGGGAGGGTGGAGGAACAAAGAGGGTGTCAGAGGAAGCTGGGTGTGTGAGATCTTGGCATGGGGGAGGGGAGTGAGTGAGAGGGATTGGGGTCTGGGGGTCTGGGCATGAAGTGGGATGCTTACCTGGCTTTGTGCCCCCTTGTAGCAACTGTCGTGATCACACAGTCCCAGGACGGCTCCAGTGGTGGCCACGATAGCAGAGCCTTCCATCTCTAGGATGGTTGGAGGCTGGAGGCAACGCTGCCTCCGCTCCAGTGCTGCCTCCTCCCACCGCAGCATAACCTGCTTCAGGGAAGAGGGAGGGTTCTCCAGAGGCTGCACAGGAGAGGAGGGGTGGGGCTGAGTTCCCGCCCCACGTGCCTCTGAAAATTGGCCCATTTGCCACTTATGGCAGGTGTGTCATATAGGTTGCTTACCCCTGGTTTAAGATGTTGCTTAAAGGCCCCCCCTCCCCCAACAGCCAGTTCTAAGGTTTCCCTGCTTGCTTGCCTACCTTGCTGAGGGACAGCAAAGCACTTTTTTCCTCTGCGTGCTCTGGTTTCTCTCACTCAGTACACCAGAGCACACTGCAGCATGGAGCCGGAGCTGCCCCAGACACTCTGGTGCTTCTCCTGGATGTGTTGCTGTGAGCCTGGCAGCACGTTCTGCAGGCAATAACAGTCTTCCTGGTGTGCCCCACTGGGGGCTTGTGCCTCATTCATCCCTCATGTCCTTCCACTTACCCCTCCCTAACCCACCTTCCTGCTGTACAATAAAAGACATGTGTTCATTATAACAAAGCCTCTTTATTGAACAAAACTGGGGTGTGGGAGAATGAAACTGAGGTGACATTGGGGAAAGAAGAAGGGTGGGAGAGGGAATGGGGAAACCTAGGAGGAGGGAGCTGGCAGGGGGACTCAAGGTGAGGAAGGGGGAGGAGAAGCTCAGGGCTCAGGGTTGGGGGTCTCGCCAGCCAACTGTCTCCCAGCACCACAGGTGTGGGGGCCTCAGCATCCCTGGGGGTATGGAGAGGGTGAGGAGGAAGAAGCGGGAGGGGGAGAAGGAGTGGAAGGAGGAGCAGTAGCTGGGGAGGCAGCAGAGGCTGGAGAAGCAAGAGGCAGCTCCAGGGTCGATGACCACCTGGGGGGCACAGACCGTCCTGTCCCCCGGGATGCGATCCATGGCATCAAAATAGGGGCATGGGTCTGGGTCTGTCCATGGTTGGGAGCTGCCCCTGGGGCCCTGACATAGGCCTGCCATAGCTCCTTTATTTTCATGCGAACCTGCTCGTGGTCTTTGGTGGCCAGGCTGGTAGCCATCCGCCTGTAGACGGTTGCGTTCCTCCATTTAGTGCAGAGATCATGGACATTGGAGGCATCCCCCTAAACCTGAATTAGGTCCCTGACCTCCGCGCTGGACCAGGCAAGTGCCCGCCTTTTCTGGCCCCTGGCAGGCTCCTGGGGGCTGGCAGACTGGCCCTGGGCAGTGGTGAGTGGGGGAGCTGCCACAGGCACTGTGGCCAGAGTCTACCCCTTTAAGGGCTCCGGCGAGGGGGGAGGGAGAGGAGTTTTCTTGGTTGTGCCGTGAGTGGCCACCAGGGCACCCTGGGAAGGGCTGGAGGCCCCCTATTTTGAAATAAGCGTCTACACAACGCTTATTTCAAAATAGCAATCTTGAAATTGGTACTATTCCTTCTGGAATGAGGTTTACTAATTTCTAAATAAGCTCTCTGCTATTTCAATTTAATTTCAAAATAGCAGTTTGGCTGTGTAGACACTGGTAAAGTTATTTTGAAATAATGACTGTTATTTCGAAATAGCTTTGCTGTGTAGAGATACCCTGAGAGGCCCTCAGAGGGTATGTCTATATTACAGAGTTTTTTCAGAAAAACATCAATTTTTCTGAAAAAAACTTAATTTATGTCCATATTGCAATCGCTTTCTTTCAAAAAAAAAATTGAAAGAACAGAGGGGTTTTTCACTTTCTTTCAAAAAAAAAAAAATTGAAAGAACAGAGGGGTTTTTCCAACATTGGTAAACCTCTTTGTACAAGGAAGAAGCCTTTTTCGAAAAGAGCTCTTTCGGAAAAAGGCATGCGTGGATGGGGAAGAGGGAGTTCTTTTGAAAGAAAAGGAAACAAGAAAAAGCAAGAGGTGCCCTGGTGGCTACTCCGTCCATAGTAATCACAGCTTACATGCGAGAGAGCGTCCATTCAGAGTGGATGCTATCTTTCGAAAAAGCAGATCGCTTTTTCGATGCGCTTTGGCAATGTAGATGCTCTCTTTCAGAAGATCTCTTCTGGAAAAGCTTCTTCCGAAAGAAGCCTGCAGTCTAGACATAGCCTCAGTCTTTAATGTATTTATCCTCACCACACTCTTGTGAGAAAGAGCAGTATTCTTATATTCATTTTACTCATGAGGTGCAGAGGCATAGAGATACTAAGGGCTGGAATGTAAAAGGTATTTGGGCACCTAAAGATGCAGAAATCATTTGCAGTTAGGTGCCTAGACACTTCTGAAAATCTCACTTTGCCTATCTGTATCATTGGAGGCCACTTGTTCAGGGTCCCCTGGGAACTGTGTGGCAAAACAGGGAGTTGAATGTGGCTCTCCTGATGCCCAAGCTCTTACCCTTACCACTGGATCACTCTTTGTCAAAACAACAACAACAATGGCACTTGATTGACCGCTGTTTCTCTCACTATCATCTTTGATTCTTGGTCTATCAAACTAACACATTGTAAAAGCATTAAAGATATTTTTAAAAGAATGTCATGCAAACATGAATGACAACAAGTGTTTATGAATACATGTGTAATTGTAATGGGTGTCTTATGTGAAGTTAATTTATGTACTGAGAAGATGAAAAAAAAGCATCTTGTCCTTTGAAAAGCCACTGTAAGTTACAGTTGATAACTCTGCAACCATTGCTGTGTAGGTGGAAATCTGTATATTCATTTGCCCTTATGTAACTCATTTTAGATATAATCAGATGCTTATATGAGCCGGAATAAATTGGACATTTTTAATGACTAGAAAACAGCTCTTCAAGTTTGATATTTAGTAAGGCAGAAAAATAATGGGTTTTTTTTTCATCTGAAAAAACTGGGACCTTAAAAGAATACCTCCAGGGTCTATTATGACCATTTAATGAGGGGCAGGTGCCACATTGCCTGCTTCTTTGGTAAACAAGCATCATATGTTTTCTGAATAATTTAATGCCTGTCTAGGTTATACAATGTTCCATTCATGACTATTTTATTAATACATCTTTTAAAATGTCTCTATTTCTAAGGTCATGCACACCTAACAGATTTTAATATTGCGACAATAATCAGAGATGGTGAAAGAGCAACTGCATTAGCTGGAACCAAACCATATATGGGTAAAAAATATTATCTATTCATCGTCTCCTCAGTTTACTTTGAAAGGCTACTTACTGCAGACCACTTTATAATTCCTGTTTAACACAAAGTAAATGAACTAATTTAACATATTAATGCATGCAACTAAGCCATTCAGAGATGTTAATCAGTCCATCAAGATGTGTGAATGATGTTCCTCAGAACACCTCATTACCTAAGTACCCTGTAAGCTGTTCAGCTTCACAGCTATTTGTTTAGCCCCATGCAGGCTGCATAGGGCAGGAACCTGCAGCAGCCAAGGGACGGCTGACCACCCTCACCCAGTCTTTGCCATGGGCAGGGTAGCCCAGTCCCAGCCCAACTATACCACAGCTGGGGCAGGTTGGACAGCCTGGCCTCAGCCCAATTCTGCAGTGACTGTGGCTTGTCCCCAAACAACCCCCATCCTCCACCACAGACTGGCCCTGGAACACTGCCCCCCACCTGCTGTAGCCCAGGTGGCCTGGGCTCCCCCCCACACAAGCCACCATGACTAGAGTGGCCAGGCCCTGTAGTTCTTCAGTCCTCTTGCACCTTTGCACCCCACCCTTTGTGCTAACCCTACCCCCATCCCAGAGCCCTTGCCCCAAGCCCTCTGTCCCAGCTAGCATTGCCAACTCTTTCAGACCAAACTGGACAACAGTAATGAAAATTAGTTGGCAAACCTAGTCCCAGCCTTGAGCCCCTCATCCTCGGCCCTGCTACAGAGCTTGCACCCCTAGCCAGAACCCTCACACTCCTGCTCCCCAAACCTCTGCCCCAGTCCTGAGCCCCCTCCCACACACAGAACTCCTTGGCCACACTGATTTTTGTCATGTGCCTTGGTATGAAGGTGATGTCACACATCACTTCCATATTGGTGCACATAACAAAATTCATTCCTCTCAGGGATGGGAAAATTCACTGCTTATGACCTTTTTGTGTTGGCTTTCCTGCACCTCCCAATATCTTCATCAGATCTGACTGTTCCTGGAAGGTACAATTCCCACTGGCTTGGGTAGGAAGTGAGGGCCCTCAGCACCTTGCATGACTGAGTAAACTATCTGGGACAGGAGCTCTTTCTTGTTTGTCTTGTAAGTCCCCATCTATGGCATTAAATAAAACGTATGATGGCCATAAACCGATGTTTACTCCAAATCTGCAGCTGAATGAAACGCATACTAGATACAGAGTGAATAAATTGTTTCCTTTTCTGTTTTTATTTAGCTCCAGAGATTTTTCACTCTTTTCTGAATGGAGGAACAGGCTACTCTTTTGAAGTTGATTGGTGGTCATTAGGAGTGATGGCTTACGAACTTCTTCGTGGATGGGTGTGTTGTCCTATGATGTTTTTATATGCTGGTGTTTTGAGATTTTTCTTAATGATCTTCAAAAGGAAAGAATTGTATTTTTTCATATTTCTATTTTATTTTCCTCAGAGACCCTATGACATCCACTCCAGTAACCCAGTAGAGTCTTTAATTCAGCTGTTTAGTACTGTAAGTGTGCAGTATTCATCAGTATGGTCAAAAGAAGTGGTTGCTTTATTGAGAAAGGTAAATACTTTTTCTTCAGTACAATTTCAATTGTGTGGTCACAGATTCCATACTGACTACAATATGTACAGGGCTAATTAGAAACTAGTCTTCTGTTCTCCTTCAAGACATTAACACATGCCCAAGCATTGAAAAGGGACAGCTCCTTTATGACTTTATACAATGCTTAGCACAATTTAATTGCTGCAAAATATAATTTGATTAGTCATTTTCTGCTTTATCCATCTTCTTTTCTGTTAGTTAGCAAGAGAGGTGTATTACTTGATTGGTTTAAGTAACATAACCATATACTTACTCAAGTTAAGATAGTGTAGTGTTAACATAACTGCCTGTATGGAAATGTATTACCTTCAATACTCTGAAAGTCATTGCTGACTGTTGAAATAACTACCTTTCAGGATAGAATGATTGCAGCGTAAAATACAGAGGTGTTTAGAGTTCCCGCTGTGGTAATGCTTTCTTGCTTTCTTGCTTTCTCCAATTCTGCACTCATTGAATCAGATTCCGATTTGTCTAGTAATTAGAAATGTCTTTGTTCCTTTCTTTTCTGGGAAAAAGATGCTTTGTCACTTTCATTTGATTGTTTATATTTAAGAAAGTCTGTTGATTTGAAGCTGATGTTCGTTTTCTGGCTTCTATTTATTATAGGATTCAAACAAGTAGCTGATAGTATAAAAGAGATAAACTCTTCACTGACAGCAAATAAGTGACTTCAATCTATGTTAGAGTTGGGGGGACAATTTACATAATTAGATTTTACTTTAGTGCCGTGGCCACTGACCGGTTGATCATGATCAACTGGTCAATTGTGAGGGCTCAACCAGTCGATTGTGAGATGTTTGGGAGCCCCCCCTTTCCCCTCACCCCAAGAAGCCCCACTACCTACTTCCAGCGAAAATGGAGGTAGTGCCAGCTTCCTGCGGGGTGGACAGAAGTTGGGCCCAGAGGAGGCGCACGCGGGGGCTTACCTGTGACGCGGGGGTGGGGAGTCCTGGGAGGAGGCTCGTACAGGAGACTCGCTGCCCCCATTGGCACCCTGTCCCCTGCTGCAGAATCTTGTCTCCTCCACCCAGCACCCTGTTCCCTCTCTCCTGTTCTGCACTGGCACCCTGTCCCCTGCTGCATTTGTTCTTCTGCTTTTTTTAGTGGAAGAGCAAACATACTCTTTTGGTAACCCCTTTATTCCTCATTCCACATGGAATAAGGGGGCTTCCAAAAGAAGGGTTTTTTCTGACAATTGGTCCAGTCTAGACAGGCCAACGAAAAACCTCATCCTATATAAGAATTGGGAAAAAAGTGGCAGTGTAGAGTGTATAAGGGCTGGGGATAGCAAGAGATGGAGAGGAGGAGAATAGAGAGGGTGAGGCTTCAAGGAAGGGGTGGGGTCTTGGGGGAAGGATAGGGCAATAGATTTTTGCTTGTTCTAAGATTTAAAAAGTGGGTGTAAAAAGGTTGGAGACCACTGCTTTAGTGAGAAGCAGAGTTATAAGTTAATATTGTAATAAAAATTGCTTAGCAAGATCACATGCGCCATCTACTGGGTTAACTCATAGAATGCACGCTTTTAAAAACAGATAACTTAATAATAAATATTTATAATCCAAAAGTTATGCGTTATTACCCCTAAACCAAGAAGTCTCCCGTGTCTCCAAGAATCTCACTTTTTTTTTGTTCTTAAACAGTTTTGTTCTGCTACAATTTTTCTAGCTGAGGAGACCTGCATGAGACAATCTTTGGAGCCCAGCTTTCCTAAATCAGCTGGCTGAGGAATTGCTGAATAATGTGGGGCATTTCTTCCTGGTATGAAGGGGTCACCTATACAGCACTTCCTGATTTTACCAGGCAGACCAACAAGTGGTCAAGACTAGTAATCAAATGTTTCTTCCTCCTGGCCCCAAGTTGAGGAATTTCCCTATCAATTAATCCTGATAGGTTCAGTAATGAGTCACTGGTAGTTCTACAATACCTAAAAGCATAATGACATTGATGTAGGATATCTTATTAGCCCTTCAAGTCTTATAAGTAGGATTGTATTCAAGAGTGAAATATGGGGATAGCCATGGATGGTGGATTACAGGAGGCAAGCCCACAGCCTCGCCCCTGCAGCCCAGGGTCCTGTGGGAACCAAGCGCTTTCCTTCACTCTAGGAGCAGGCCATCCTTCCCACAGTGGGTGGTGTGTAGCCCAGCCTTCCCGTCCCAGCCATGGAGCATGGGGGAGCATGGATGGCACGTGGCTCCATCCTTCTCTGGCCCTGGCCAGAGCACTGAGGGTGAGGAGTGTCTCCCAGCCTGGGCCAGAGCATGGCCCTGGAGAGTGGGCAGCCACACCTGACCACGGAGCATGGGCAGCATCTGGCCCCAGCTTCCCCAGCCTCAGTAGGGCTGAAGCCTCGCCAGTTCCTACAGACTGGGGGAGATGTGCTGAAGGGGGACCAAGTGGGAGGGAGGCGGGCAGGGAGTTTGGATAGACATTGCCTTTCCCTGCCTCGTATACCTGCTGCCTGTGAGGATGATGGGAGATTCCTAACTTTCCACTGCGGTCTAAGGCCTGCAGCCCTGTGCCTTCTGTCTTAGACTCCTACCCCTGCCACCAAGAGCCTCCATGGGAGCTAAGCCCTCCCTAGTCTAGGGGAATTCCCCCAAGTAAGCTCTTACCCTCCTGAGAATGGGTGGTCCATGGGCAGCCTGCCGTCTTCCCTGGCCTCTCCAGAGCACAGGCAGCTCCCACCCTTCCCCCCCAACCAGCATCCTCCCCCAAACATGAGTGGCCCATGTCCCAATCCTTCCCACCCTCCAGCATGGGTGGCCTGCAGTCCAGCCCTCCCCCTCCTCCCCCTAGGCAGGGGCCACTAGTGGCTCACTCCCCAGAACATAGACAATCCATGGTCCATCCCCTCTGGAGCATGGGGGGCAGACAGGTGGGTGGACAGGTGCCCACCCCTCCCCCACCTCAACCTCCCCAGCCCTGGAGCACAGGGAGGGTTAGCAATGCAGGACTGAAGCCCAGGCAGCCCCAGGAGACTTAAGGAGACGTACTGAAGAGAGGGGGGTTAGGAGTGGAGTGTGGGTGGAGCCAGACAGGCAGTTTGGAAAAGCATTGCCTTCTCCTGCCTCTTAAACCCACCACCGATGCTAATGTTTGAGTTCTTCGCTGTGTCTAGACTGGCCGCTTGAATTTCCGCAAAAGCACTGATGATGTTTTGCACAAAAAGGGCCAGTGTAGACAGCAGAGATTTGTTTTCCGCAAAAAAGCCCCGATTGCGAAAAAGTGCTTTTGCGGAAAAGCGTCCTGCCAATCTAGACGCGCTTTTCCGTAAATGCTTTTAATGGAAAACTTTTCCGTTAAAAGCATTTCCGGAAAATCCAGAAAAAAGTGTAGACGAAGCCCTTGAGTTTGCAACCTTACTGATTTTTCTTTTAATTTGCATCTGACGAAGTGAGTCTTTGCCCACGAAAGTTTATGCTCCAATAAATCTGTTAGTCTATAAGGTGCCACAGGACCCCTTTTTGTTTATGCAGATTCAGACTAATACAGCTACCCCTCTGATATTTGTCATCTTTTAACATAAGTTTTTTGCATAATAAGTTTTTGTCATTTCCCACAATTTTTTTTCCCTCTCAGTTAATTATAAGAACATGATTAAAGGCAGAATGCCTGTTCTTTCTCAGGCCAGACCATGCCTCATTGCAGTGTTTGTCATTTCAGCTATTGACAGTGAACCCTGAGCATCGATTTTCCAGCCTCGCTGATGTTCAAACTTCAGCCTACTTATCAAATGTCATCTGGGGTGATGTCTGTGAAAAGAAGGTGGAGCCAGGCTTTGTTCCTAATGTAAGCAAATGTGATGACTTATCAGACTCCCCTTGTTGAACAATGATCACTGTTTACTTAATAAGGATTTCTATGGTTGAAGGAACTCCTAAACGGATTAGCTGAAGCATACCATTTTCATAAATCACAGAATTAAGCCAATGCCTTTATACCATTCAAACAGAAAGGCCGTCTGCATTGTGATCCCACCTTTGAGCTAGAAGAGATGATCCTGGAGTCAAAACCTTTGCATAAAAAGAAAAAAAGACTTGCAAAAAACAAGTCCAGGGACAACAGCAAGGACAGCTCACAGTCAGTAAGTCCATCCTTCAATAGCTCAAACAATCCCGGGACAATAATCCCGCGACAAAAAGCAGAGGTGTTGAAATCTAATTGTTTTAAAAGAAGTTACTTTGCATGGTGGTTTTTCATTCATATGTACTATAATAAAAATGTTCAGTCAAGTGAATTAGTAAAATGAGACGTGAGGCAAGTTGGAAATATTGATGACACTAATAAATGTTAATGATTCAAAGTTTTGAGTACCTCACTTGAAAGAATAATAAAAAATTCTGCAGTATGTATGTATTGCACCAGAAAGGAAAACTAAACACAGTAATTTAAAAATGTGAAAGAAAACAAATTCCTCCATTTTATCGTCAATTTAGGCTGAAATTCCTGCTAGTTGGTTAGATTACTTCATGTGCATATAGACACAGCAATGAGCCTCTTGTTTCTGTAGTGACTTCTCATGCACATGATGTTTTGCTTATTTTCAAAACAGGAAAATGACTATCTCCAGGAGTGCCTTGAAGCAATCCAGCAAGACTTTGTCATTTTTAACAGAGAGAAGTGAGTGAGGGGGGATCTTTTCAAAAGAAAAAGGGGCTTCTTTTTATTTAGTAGAATTGGAATTCACAAGAACGGATTGACAAATATAAGAATCCAGTTCTGCATTGTTGACTTCAATGTAGCAGATTCAGGCCCTATGTTTTTGGGGTTTTTTAAACTTAAAAAAAGGGAATGGAAAATATCCCCAAAAGCTTAAATTAAGATTTAAACTGTATAGTTTAAATCAAATATGCTAAAAATCATGTGGATTCTAAAATATTTATGATTCTGAGTCTTGAATACACCAATAATACCCACCATTCCACTGTATTTTGGCAATAAGGCAAATTAAAGAAATATGGTAAAATATCATCCTTGCTCGACAATGGGTGAATGAAAGAACTGCAATTAAAATATCTGCTTTTAAATTAAACAATATGGGTATGTCTACACTTAGACCCTAGTTCGAACTAGGGATGCAAATGTAGGCCTTCGAAATACAGGCAGTCCCCGACTTACGTGGATCTGACTTACGTCGGATCCCTAGATACGAACGGGGTGAGGCAACTCCCGCACATGCGCAGCAGCATTCCCGGGGCTCGCTCACCTGGGTCCTAGGATCCTCCTCCTCCTCGGGCCGGCTCCGACTGGGGTCCCGCAGAGCTGCCGGGCAGAGGAAAAGTGCCTCCCCACGCCCGCTGCCCCCTCCCCCCCGCCAGCAACAGGCTGCCCCCCCCTCCCCTGAGCAACAGGCTGCCGAACAGACAAAAGCAGCCAATGGCATATGCAGTGCTGTACAAGTCATAAAGGAATATCTAGTATCCTACTGTAATGTGCTTACTTAGGAGCATGACTTGTTTAGAGAGGGATTCCTTATTTATTTCCTCGCCTAGAGTGAATTGCCTCCTATCATAGGGTATGTCTACACTTGCACCCTCGTTCGAACTAGGGATGCAAATGTAGGCCTTCAAAATAGTCAATGAAGTAGGGATTTAAATATCTCGCGCTTCATTAGCATGATCTCGCCGGCGGGTTAAACAGCTGTTGATCGGAGTAACGCGCTGGCGAGATCATGCTAATGAAGCGCGAGATATTTAAATCCCTACTTCATTGACTATTTTGAAGGCCTACATTTGCATCCCTAGTTCGAACGAGGGTGCAAGTGTAGACATACCCTATGATAGGAGGCAATTCACTCTAGGCGAGGAAATAAATAAGGAATCCCTCTCTAAACAAGTCATGCTCCTAAGTAAGCACATTACAGTAGGATACTAGATATTCCTTTATGACTTGTACAGCACTGCATATGCCATTGTGTTTAAAATATAGTAAAAACACATC